AGTGCCGTGTGGTGCCTGTATACAGGCGCGTCGACGGCGACCAGTACCTGGCGGCAATGGCGGGGTACACAGCCCCAACATACGCTGCTGACCGACGCGACGCACGAGACGCCCACGCGTCTGTTTGCCAAGATCACAGACGTTCTCAAGCTTAGCCTGCCGGCAGGGATTGGCAACTTTTCCAATGCACGTCCGGCGTGCGAGTGCCACTTCCACGACCTGCACGACGGCCAGGGGCTCCGAAATGTCCGACAACACGCTTTAAAGGTCCCCCATATATCACGTGATTAGGTGCCATTTCCGCCTTGTAGCGTACCGCTGAGCGAGACCCCAACGGACGGTTGCTCTCCGTAGGCCGAGCTAGCGTAGTGGATATCGCAGCCGCCTCCTAAGCGGCAGGTCGCGGGTTCGAATCCCGCGCTCGGTTCTTTTTCGCCCTTTTTTTTACTCAAAAGGCGCTAGGGGGGGGAAAGGGAGACGCTCGCTACTTGGCGATCCCGGGCCTGGTGTAGGGGACCACGCTCTGGCCGGTCGCATTGACGCAGGCGGCGTTTGCGCATGTGGTGCCGGGTGGGCAGTCGGTGAGGAACCTCCACTGGTCCGCGACGCAGACCATGAGCGAGTTGGTCCGGGTTCTGCAGCCAAAGGCAAAGTTGGCGGCGGTGCTAGAGTCGCACTTTTGGCCGACCTCGACGCTCTGCGTGCTGGCGGGGGCCGTGCCCGGGGCACACAGGACGCTGGCTGCAGCGGCGGCTAGTATGGCCACGGCGGTCTTGAGGTGCATTCTCTTGCTCGATGGAAAAAAAAAGTGATGCGTGGGGGGATGTGCGGAGAAAGGAGAGGTGCCCCGTTTTTTTTATCATGCGAGCAGACGGCTGTCTCTTCTCCTTTTTTCTTTAAAGCGGGTGCCAAGAAAAGCCATTGAGCAAAAAAAAAGGGGGGGAAGTGAGCACAGCATTGGGTGGTTGGTTTAATGGACAAAGAAGAGCGTGTCCGCACTTGCTCCCCCTCCCCCCAGAACTTGATGCCTCGCAGAGCCAAAAGGGGGGGGGCAAGTGGGGGGGGGGAAGAGAAAGACCGCCACATCGCGATGGCATCCAGAGAGGTAGGGAAAAAAGATCGGCTCCGGGTCCAGCGATCCATCATGGCCAATGTGCATGGATGTAGTTTTTTTTGGGCGAGATGGACATCGGCCGAGGTGGTCGTATAAAAGCGCGGCTCCCCGGGCACCGAGGGGAGTGGAGCGGAAGAAGGGGAGAGAAAGGGAGAGAAAGCCCCGTATCCCCTCTCCCACTTTAAAACGCCACCCCCTCCAAAGCGTCATCTCCCTTTCGAAACAAAAACAAACAAACAAACAACAGCAAAAAAATGTACACAGACAACGACGGATACGGGTGGCGGACGTGCAACTGGTGCCTGCAGACGCACGCGGGGCTGCTGACAGAGTACATGATGCATGTGCGCGGGTGCCAGTCCAGCCCGAGAAACTACTTTGCCGAAAACTGCCGCCGCGCAATGCAGGCGGCTCCCGCGGGGCCCGCGCCCGGCCCGCGCAAGGTCTATGTGTGGAACCTGCCCTTCAAGAAGAAAAAGTAGCCCGCCCCCCCTTTTTTGTTTGTCTGTCTTGGAATACACAAAAAAAGTACAACATGTGACGCTCCAGCCAGTATCCCACAGCCGGAGCAGCCGCAGACATATTGTCTTGGGGGGGGGGGAAGTTGCTTGGGCCAATGCGGCGGGCGCCCTATATCTCGCTCTCTTCCTCTCCCTCTTTGTGTGTGTGTCTTGATGAGAAAGTCGGGGGCGCGGCCGCCGGCCAAGGCGGGGGGAGGAAATGGCGGCGGGTTTGCAGGGTTCAAGATCAAGGCGGCGCCCAGCACAACAGTGGCGCCGTCGCGTGCGTTTGGCGACGGGCACGGGGGCAGCAGCAGCGGCAGCAGGGACATGCTCGGGGTGGCGATGGAAGTGACGGCGGCGCAGGACGGGGACCGGATCAGGGCGCAGGGCGAAGAAGGGGCGGCGGCGGCGGGGGAGGCGCTGGTGATTCCGGCGCGGCGCAACGCGGACTGGATGGCGCGCAAAAGCAACAACAACAACAGCAACAGCAACAAGAGGCCCGACTCGCTGCGAGACGCAGCCATCCACGAGCTGGCTAGCGGACAATCCACCACCACCACCACGGCGCGGCGGGCGGCGGTCCCGCTGCAGGAGCAAAGGGAGGACCAGGCGTATGCAGAGGACATTGGCGAGTATTCGGACGTCAGTGATGGCGCGTACGACCGCGTGCCCGTCGAGGAGTTTGGCGCCGCCATGCTGCGCGGCATGGGCTGGTCCGAGGGCGGCGACGGGCGGCCAGAGCCCGCAAATGCCGACCGCCCGCGCCCCAGCCTGCTCGGCCTCGGCGCAAAGCCGCTGCCCAAGGAGCTGGCGCCCGACAAGCCGCGGGCCAAGCGCTTCTAAAGAAGAAGAAAAACAAACAAACAAACAAACAAGGATTGCTACCGGGCGTCTCTTGGCGCGTACCGCAGCAGCGTGGCCGACAGGTGGATGAGGGCAATGAGTGCCTCGGTGACCTTTTCAATGTACACAGAGACGGAGCCCCTGATTTTGTAGTCGGGAGCCATGCCAATGTACTGGGCAATGGTGGCGCCCTGGTCGTCCTCCAGCTTCCAGCAGTGCTGCATCATGCCGGCGACCCAGTCGTATCGCCGGCCGTCAAAGCCGACAAAGGCCCACGTCAGCCGCGCAAGGTCAAAGCCGCCCGCCATCGTCTGCCCGCGGTACCCAAACCGCGCCTGGTCGCGGCGCGCGCCCTCCGCCTGCATCGTCATCACCACCACCACGGGCCCGCCCCCGCTGCCGCTCCGGTGCAGCGCGTACGCCCGCCCGTCCGCCCGCTCCACCGTCCAGATCGGCGCAAGCTCGCCCGCCTGCGCGACCGTCTCCACCAGCCCCGGGTACACCAGCGTCCTTTTGCTAAACAGGTACGCGTCCTTGATGTACGTAAACGAGACGGCCATGCCCTCCTTTTGCTCCACGCCCTTTTCGCAGGCGTACATGTGGAGAGCAAAGCGGCAGAAAGAAAAAGAGAGAGCGGACTGGGAAAAAAAAACGAGAGGCCCCGCAAAGACGAGGCGACGAGATAGAGAAGGTCGCGGGATGAGTGGAGGTGGTGGTAGAGAGAAGCAGGATCGCCCCCCCCCGCTCCATATCCTCTTTTCCCTAGACGGAAGGCGGGCGGCAGTACCTGAGCCGTAGTCGGCTGCAGATCCGCCCAGTGCCTGGATCTGCACTCCGCCAGGCAATAAGTGGGGCCTGCATGGTCCGGCATCCGAAAGCGGGGCGTATCATCTGGTTGGTTGGTTGTTACACGGGGAGGAAGGGGCTAGCCGCGCTTGTTGCGCCTGGATGCGCGCGCGGCGGCGGCGGCGGCGGCGGCGGCGGCGGTGGTCCTTGGCGCGGCGGCAGTCTTTGGCGCGGCAGCGGCCTTTGGCGCAACAGTCTTTGGCGGGCGGCCGCGCTTTGACGGCGTGGCAGCGGGCCTCGGCTCGTCGGCCTGGCGCTTGCGGCCGCTGCGGGTGCGCACGGGCGGGGCAAGGTCCGGGGCTGCAGCAACAACAGCGGCAGCAGCAACAGCAGCCGGCTCGCTGGCCCTGGGCCCGCGGCGCGGCTGCTCCCGGTTCTCCTCCCCCTCCTCTTCCTCCTCCTGCTTCCGTCCCAGCGGCCTGGCAGCGCCTCGGCCGCGCTTTGGGCGGCCCAGCTCCTTGGCCTCGTCCTTTGCGGCTGGCTCTGCCGCGCAGGCGCTCAACGGTGGACGCAGCTCCACCGCGGGTGGTGGTGGTGGTGGTGGTGGTGGTGGTGGTGTGTCGGGCGCTGCCTTATCGGGCGCCGCTGCGGCCGGCTGCTCACCAGCCCCCAATCCTTCTCCAGGAACCACGTCATCGCCATCATCGCACGGCTGGCTGGAGGCGAGCAGCTCCACGGAGTCTGCAGGCTGCTGCGAGGGCTCCACCAGCGGCGTGCCCGCCTCGGGGGGCTCGGGGCTGTCTAGCCGCGTCTCCAGGGCACCACCAGTGGCCGTGGCGCGGGCGGGCTCAAGCACGGCGCTGTTGCCGGCGTTGCTCTCGGCGTCGGCGTCGGCGGGAATGTCGGCGGCGTCGACGTGCTCCCAGCCCGCGTCGATCGGCGTGGGGCGCGGCGGGTACGCGTGCTGCTGGTCTTGTGCGCCGGGTGCGGCGGCGGGCGCGTCGTCCTCTGCGGGCGCTGCGGCCAGGCCCAGGGCGCCGGCAACATAGTCTGCAAAGCGGCGGCGCTTGGGCATGGTGCGGGCGGCGGCGTCGCTGGTGGGCTGCGGCTGGCTCCGGCCAAAGGCGCCGGCCGACGCGGCGGCGGTCGCGTTCCAGGCAGGCGGCGGATACATGGTCGAGGGGCCCAGAGACAAGAGCGGCGGCTGCGGCGGCTGCTGCTGCAGGGCGACGGGTTCATCAAGGGCCGGCACGTGGGCGGGGGCGGGCACATGACCGGGGCCGTGGCCAATGGGACGCAGCGCGGCGGGGGACTGCGGCGGGGACTGCGGCGGCGAGGACGGCAGCGGGCTGCCCGCGCCGGCCGGCACCCAGCCGCGCCACGACGACCGGCGGCGCTTCAGGTCGCTGACGGTCTTGCGGCGGCGCTGGCGCTCCTGCAGCCGCCGCAGCCGCTCGCGCCGCGCCAGCAGGTCGTCGGTCGAGTCGGCGGCCTCGCCCTCGCTCGCGCCGCCGCCCGCGGCCGCCGCCGCCGCTGCTGCTGCTGCTGCCAGGGGCGCGTCCAGGGCGCCGGGCTCGATGGTCCGCCGGCGCTTGGAGCCGGTGGAGGGCGCCGGCGACATGACCATCGTCGCGTCGGCCGAGCTGCTCAGCCGCAGCTGCAGCTCGGCCTGCTCGGCCAGCAGCAGCTCCGACGCGCCCGCCCGCTCGCGGGGCGCCGGCGCTGCTGCGCCATTGGCTGCGCCGTCGCCGTCGCCGGCCATGCGCATGGCGTCGGCCAGGCCCAGCAGCGGCAGCCCCGGCTCGACGGCCGGCGGCGGCAGGGCCTCGGCGTCGGCGTCGGCGTCGGTGTCGTTGGCGCCCCGGGCAGGGCGGGCCTCCTCGGCGGCGGGCGACGGCTCCTGCGCCGGCTGGTGCTTCGCGGCAAAGATCGGCGGCACGTCCTCGCCCAGGGCGGCGGCGACCTCGGCGATGGACGCGGCGAGGAAGCCGGGCGGCGCCGTGCGGCGGCGGTCCCTGCGCGCGCGCTTTGCGTCTGGCGCCGGCCCGGCGTCCAGCGGCGCGCTGCCCCGGCGCAGCGGCGACGCGGCGGCGAGCGTGCAGCGGCGGCGGTCGGCGCGCAGGCAGCGGCGGCGGCGGCGGCGGTCGGCGGGGCTGTCGCGCTTGGTGGGGGACTCGATGC